CTCTTCCCTGTTCATGCCCTATCGGCCCCCCTGGCTAAATTTGCTAGATCCGCCCCTGCAGTTACCAGCCGATACGATACGTAATATCGGATCGGTCCATCTCTACCACAGACAGAGTCAAATCTATGTCAGTTTCTGAGCTCAGGGCTCAATGGTGTAAATTAGCCTTTATACATATACAATAATACAGAGAAAACTCTAAAATCAGACAACCCCGCATGAGCAACCACATTTTCTGCATTATTCGCTTGCTTATTACGCACAAGTCTACCGTTGTTTACAGCGCTGTCGGCCGCTGTTTTTTTTCCTTTTACTTACTTCCGAAAAGAAAGCCTCATTTCTGCTGTTCAATACTGAACAAATGTAAACTTTTTAGAATTATGCAAAATTGCAAAATGCTCAGCTGTGTCTCTAATAAAACCTCTGTAACTTTGCTCTGCTTCACTTCAGCAGCATCAGGTAATGTTCAGATGTTTATTAATGGTTTTCTTTCATTTTTGATCTACTGCAGAATATTTTTAAGGTTATCTGCTATAAAATCCCAGACAAGGAAAGTCGCCTTCATGTTTTTCTGTTTTATTCTCAGTTACTTTGACACAAAGGCATCTGCTGTGATGCTTACACTTTTGATAAAGTCTTGCAAGTGTCAGCTTTCTTTTTGTAGATATAAAAATATGGAAATATACTGATACATGACCAGAATTATAATATTTCTGACTGAGGCAAAATTTCCCCGATTCCAATCGGATCGAATGGATTCAGGACATTGTGAATCGGAATCAAATCGATTCTAGAAATCAGTGACGATACCCAGCCCTGCTCCTAATTATATTCACAGTATTCATTAATTTTGTATTTAGGGATCCATTAGCTTAGCTCATAATCAAGTCACTAGCTGCATGGTTTCTTCATCTGTCCAGAGGTGGGAAACTTTTTACTCCACTGTTGGACAGCACAGAAGGGTCATAGCTGCTGATTGTAAGGCTACGTCTGATGTGATTAACATAAAGCTGGACAAGATCCAACCTGAAGTTGCTAACCAAGAACTACGCACTGGTGAGCTCCTAATTAAAAAACTTGGATGACGAGTTAAGTACAGGTTCTGATCAGAACGTGTAACTCAGCCTTCAAGCTGAGGGGCAGTTCTCTGTACAGCATTGCCAGTGCCAACCTGAGGAGGGGCATCAAACAGGCCATGGAGGCCTCAGAGAGGAGAATAGAGGGCTTCCTCATAGACAACAACCCCCGCCAGGTGGGGAGAACCATCCAAGCCCTCATCAACTACAAAGCCTCAAACTCACAGAGGAGCTCAACTTTGGCACTGTTTATTTTCTATGTTTTCCAGTCTTATTGTGGTAGATATCTGCCTGTGTGGATTATGTTCCATTCTACTTCCTATGAGTCATTAGTTAGATTTAGTCCAGCCGTGTATCCACCGCTCTCTTACATCATCATTCCTTGTCTTGTCATCGTCAATCCCACGTGTGTGTTTTCAGGTCAGTTCAGCCCATCCACGAGTCACTCAGTCATTCGTTCAGTCTTCTCAGTTCTGTTTGTCCTGTAGTCACAATAGACACAGTCCACATCCTTCACCAGCCTACGTGTCCTGTGTTTGGTTGTAAGACAAGAGCCATGCCGCGAAGACACACTATGGTACCAGCAGACCTGGTACGAGTGGCAGCAAGCAGCACTCACCTTTCTGGAGAGGGAGCTGGGGGTTAAACTGTGGCCCAACTTGAGCACGTCTTCAAGGGGACTCATTTGGCTCTGGGGGTGGGGGGGCACCGTGGTCCTCCACCTGGCCCCCCACCTGCTGCCTCGCCTGTACGCCAGCCTTTGCCACGGTGAGTGGGTGTCACCCGCCGATCTTCTCACTCTCTCACCTCTCCTCTCCTTGCTCCTCCACCTGCCACCTCACTCACTAGCACTACCACCTCGCCGTGGTGCAGAGGCTCCGTCATTCAGCGTTCCTGCTGTCACCGCCAAGAGGAGGCAAGGCTCTCGCCACCACAGTTCTTCTCATTCAGAGCAGCAACTTCCAGTTGTGAGTGAAACGGACTTTTTCCCTCCCGCTCGCCACAAATCAAGACAGATTAAGACTTCTGTTTGCTCAGCTAAAGAGCCACTGACTGTTGTAAACCTGGACTGGACTATCAGATAAATGTTCATCATCAACCTGCTTCCAAAAAAATGCTCCACCATGTCAGTCTGTCATTAAGGACAGCTACACCTTTAAATCCGATTATTCCTGTCATTCTGTTTCTATATCCACACCTGTCTCTCAGCCCGTTCCTGCTCCCAGGGCGGCTTGGGCCCTCACCTGTTCCTGTGCCTGCTCCCAGGGCGAGGGCAGCTGAGACCCAACCTGTCCCTGCACCCGTACCTGTTCCTCAGGTAGGGACAGCTAAGATCCGGCCAATTCTTCCACCTGTTACGGTGCCAAGGGACGGGCGGCCCAGTCCTCAACTTGAGCTCCAGCCACAGCATCCAGAGCCAGCCGAGTGCTCTGCTTCGCCACACACCTGCTGCTCTGTCTCCACCAGAGGGCTATGCCAAGCCACGCCGCCAGTAACCTGCCAAGCTGCTAGAGGCATCCCATCATCTCCGCCGGTCTACAGTGCAGCATCTCTTGTGCTGCCCTCCAGATCAGCACCGCTGGCCAAGCAGTCGCCTGCCTGAACTGATTTGTCTCTGCTGCTGGCCATGCGGCCACCCACATGAGCGGATTTGTTCTGGATGTTTTTTTACTGACTGCCAAAAAATGAATGTGTTTAGTTTTTGCAGTACTGTATGTAATGTCTATGTATAAAAGTCTCTACACTTATTTATATTTAAAAGGCAGGACAGTGAGTCAAAGATTGATTTTAACTGGTTGTTTCAACAGAACTTGCCAAATGTAGTGAGGAAAACCCTACATGTGGCAACTTTGGTAAAATAAACATTTTTCAACAGTTTTTGTTTGCTCACAAAAAATGTTCATGTTATTTAAAGGCTCGTGTGCACAAGATCTCCTTTATTTGCTGCAAGGCAGTATCTGTATAACCCGATTCTGCTTTATGGAACATTCAACATCATAATTCTGCTATAATTACAGAAGCTTTAAGCAAATTTAAAATGGTAGCTGTAAATGAACAAGCTCCAATTATCCCTGCTCCCCCTGGTGGATACACAGGGCGAGCATTTTCCTCCTGTCTTTCAGTAATGTGTAATGTTTTGAATCACAGTATTTTCCTTTAAAAAAATAAAAAATACAGACATCATGCCTTTGTTCTATAATGTAACATTTGCCCACTCACTATAATTGTGGGCAATTTACAGAAGAAACTCACTTGATTAAAACTGTTAAATCAGAGTGTCAATCATACAGAAGCTCATATTGGCTCATGATCGATCACAATTCAAATTCTGTTGCCCATAAAATGACAAATGTGACCTTGAGCAAAATTTTGCCTGAAAACGCACACGTTTGTGTACAAAGTTCACTGAAAGTCTTGTATACCCTGTTAATTGATCCTGTAGTAGACACTGACTACTGCACGCTAAGAATCCTGCGGCACAAACCACAGATCGACTTGTTTCAGATCAACAACACTGACTTTTGTTGATTTGGTCTGAGCTTGCCTGGCAGTGATATCTAAAGCAGATTAAACTGTTTACAAATAAACAAATCATTAATGTGTAATCAATGCATAACCATCAAAGTGAAATGACCTGATTTATTTATTTATTTGCATCATTTTCATGATGTATCTACCAAGAAATCATTGATTTGTTGTTAAAGTGGGTCCAAATATTTGAAAGGTGCTTAATACAGATAATATAGATTTTAATTAAAAAGAAAAGCTGGTGGATGGAAAATTCAGGTTTTATATCACTGACCCAT